TGAATGATAATCGGTTATAACCTTATAACTTATACGGGTACCTGTTTTCACCTCTATCGATCTTGCTTAAATGGATGTTGATTTCCAGTAACATGAACAATGTGGCTTGATGTATGATTTAATCATCTACTGCTTCTTTTGGTGATATCTTGCCGAAAATTGTTATGCCCTTAAAAATTTAGGTCAGACGCAAAATTTCTATGAACATATGAAACTGGCATAACTAGGTTACACTTGCAAGGGATGCTTAGGCACATTTTACACGGTCTTCAAAATCTGGTAGAACTTGGGTATAACTTCACAAGTTTTCGCACGATTTGCTTGTTAATATTTGCTATGCCAATGCTTGATGCTCTAACAGCTATCATGCTCCCATAACTATCACCAATCAGCATCATAAGTCATAACCAAGTCGATAAAAGTTACACTCTACTAGACTTTAGGTTTCAGCCTCATGTTTGTTACTGCAAACCTTTATAATTCATCAAAGCAAAGATTTTGAGTTCCAAAACAGGTCCATTAAACTAGTACATTATTTATTCCAATTATCCTTTTTTCTGAAGAATATTTCATTTGTCGCTATACAGGTGGATTGCAACGTGTTTACTAATGGGCAAAGTCGCTATACCACCCGTTGTCACTCTAAACGACATCTGGGGATTTTTCAGGACTATAAGCTCTCTCAAAATCCAATCAGCCAAGAATTCGAGAACTTTCTACTCAACGCAATCAATTTGAACTTCTTCGAACGCCTAAACCTGGCGTGGAAGATAATATTCCCATCACCCGCATCAAAAAAGAATTCCAACGCCAACATTGCCAAACAGCGCCTTAAGATGATCTTATTCTCTGACCGGTGTGCAGTCAGTGAAGAGGCCAAACAGAAAATCGTGACAAACGTTGTGAGTGCCTTGTCTGATTTTGTCGAAATCGAGTCTCAGGACAAAGTTCAGTTGAGTGTCTCGACTGATCCGGATTTGGGGACTATTTACTCGGTCACTGTGCCTGTGAGGCGTGTGAGGTCAGAATATCAACTTGATGACGAGATTGGGTCGATAACGAATATTGAATATAAGGACAGAGGAGAAACTTCTGGCTCTGTTGATGTCAAGTTTGATTTTTATGTTCCCAGTGACAAATCTAAGGATTTTAATGTGTGAAAGGGAGGTGAAGATGGAGAGCAGTGAGGTTAGACCAGAACTGGATGTTGTTGCTCTATGTTCTTTTTATTATTTTGTTTTTCATATTTTCTGCACACTAGTGATGTCCTTTATTCGTTCTTTGGATGATGTGATGTAACCACTGGACCATATGACCATTATCATATTCTGTAAATAGTTGAAAATTGAAAATTTACTTCTTGGATAATTTGAATGTCGTGTGGTATTATCTCGACATCCTGCGTGAAATGAGTGGGTCGAATTAATCCTGACATGTTAAAATGATTTTTGGTGAACTTGAACGTTAATTAAGCTAAAAAATTATGGGCCCCTTTTTTAAGATGGTAATTTTTCTATGGTAATTTTTCTATGGAAATAATTTTTGGGGAACTTGAACGTTAATATGATGATTAAATATCATGAGTTTGCTACACTTTTGTGAACTTTTATAGAAATATGACATGCAAAATAAACTTATACATAAACCATTCATAAACGACTCGTAAAACAAAAACAATGTAGTTCAGAGTATTCATAAACAGAAACGTATAATATTTGCAATAAAATAAATTCGTAAATATATAAATAAATTAGGTGAACATAATTTTTTCTAGACCTGAGACTGATCCAGTTCCTACTATATTTTTAATCGGAAACGAAGTAATATAACAAGTTTGGTTAACACGTCGAATTTTGCAAGAACAAAAAAAGAACTGTGTTACAACTCGGTTCCTCGGTTAACCGAATTACAAAAGAATAATCGGTAATAACCGATTTTGAATTAAGAACGATAAAAAACTTGCAACTCATGTATAAACAAATATAAAAAAATCCAAAATCATAAGATAACAGTGAAAAACCAAATAATATACACTGGAAAGGGAATGAATTAGTATATATAAAATAAAAGAAACATGCTTATTGTGCATATGTACAGGGCCAGCTCTTTCGGGAGGTAGCCTAGGCCCATGCTTAGGGTCTCCCATATATTTGGGGTCCCATTTTTTTTTTCAATATTATGTATCTGTATTTGAGTTTGGCTTATTTGCATATATGAAATGACTCATGGTTAAATACAGACTTAACTCATTATACAAATGAAGTAGCTAATTAATGAATGGGTTAATGACAAAATATTTACTTTGTGTGGGATTGAGACCCTAATTTTTTCATTTGTTTTCTTATGATGTTCGGTCAGAACAATTATGTGAGAATAAATATTATTTGCAGTGATATGGTTTTTATTTTCTTCTCTTTGTTATCTTATTAAAGATCTTTGTAACCCATAGGTAATATATCAATTTCATGGTCTAGAAAAACAAGAAAAATTATTTTTTTTCAATTATTTATTTATTTAATAATCTTTTTTAATTAGGTTTTTTCTTCTATTATTCTACAAATCGCTCTAATTACCACGCAAGTTCAAATCTGAGAATTCAAAAAAGACAAATTTGTCTAGGGCCTCCAAATTTCTGGAGACGGCCCTACATATGTAGTCGGTTCTTTATTTAATACATGTACATTCACAATAGGAACCGAGAACCGGAACCAATTTGTGAAATAAATAACTAAACAATTTTTTTTGTAATTATTATTATTATTATTTTTATTTTTTATGAAAAAATAACCGAACCGATTTTCTGGCCAATATATTACGACAACCCAACTCAAAATTAGCGGAAACCCCTTTTAATTTAAAAACTTGAAATTCAATCTGCGGACTCATCCAATCTCTCTCCCCACTGCGATAATTTTGTTGATTCCCACATGAACGGGTCTTGTTTGAACTTCGATAACCCGATCCGAGACGCCATTTCCAGGATCCGATTTGCTCCCGCTTCGAACAATCTACTCCTTTCCTCATGGGACTCGGCAAGTTCTACTACCATTGCTAACTTGCTCTAGAAACCAGTTGTTTGCAGCTACTGATTTGTAAAATGTGAGCGTATTTTTGTAGCGGATTTGTAAATAAGAGCTCGCATATCATTTTTTTCGAGCAGGTTCTTCGACTTTACGACGTGGATGAATCCGATGTCCGATTGGAAACTCCGAATGGAGGCGCAGCCCTTCTCGATTGTTGTTTCGAGAGTGAGTCGGTGGCTCTAACTGCTAATTCCGATGGTTCAGTTATCAGGTTTTTGGTTTTCAGCAACTATTATTTGCTATTTTGTTTATTTGCGTATTTTGATGTTTGATATGGTTAAAGATGCTTAATTTCAGTTTTGGGTGACGGTAAAGATTGACCAAGCTGTAGCTTGATTTTTTTTATATTTTTATTTTTTTATTTACAGTATTTCATATGTATTTGTCAGCTCATTGATTTACTTTTGATATGGTAATGCTCTATTAGTGAGACATTTGATTTGAAATTTCCTTAGGTACGATATGCGACTGGGAAACAGCAATGTATTAGGAAAACATGAAGACTCTGCAACATGTGTTGAGTATTCTGACGAAACATGTAAGATAAGGGTAACACCCAATACCACTTATAATTTGCACAAATTTACGTCATTGCTGCTGGCTCAACAATTTTTGGTCTTAACCACATCGATGACCTTCTACATAGATTATTATTCTTATCTATTTATTTGATAATCAAATAGATGAATGAGTTAAGATTTTGGGTCTCTGATAGTAGATAATTCAATGCACGACATTTATAAAAACATTTTAAAAAAGAAATGGAAAAACAAAGAAACAAAATTAGCATTAAATTGTAAATCAATAAGATATTGGTTTGGTACTCTATTTACGATTTATTGCAACGAGATGAAACTTTTACAAGTCTATTTCTTTGTCTGCAGGTCAAATTATTACTTCTGGTTGGGATAACAGCATAAAGTTTTGGGATGCACGGTCAGGCAATTCTGTAGGATGTTTGAGTAATCTTGTTGTGGGGGTTGAATCTATGTCACTTTCTGTTTTCAATTTGATGGTTGCTCTCAAGTCTTCAGTGCATATGTATGACTTGCGTTACTTAGATAGGGAGGTTCGCGTTAAAGAACCTTTCACAGACATCCATATAAAATGTGTCCGCTCAAGTTCAAATTTAGGAGGTACTGTAGTTTTAGCTTTTCTATCTCCAATATCTCATAATTTCTTTAAACTTATAATAATTGGTTGGAGTAGCATCCTGTTTTTGTTTCTCATATTGCACTTTCAATAAATGGATAATATTAACACCTTCTATTTATTTTCGTCATGGACAGACCTTTTAAAAGTGCTATTAGGCAAAGCCCTTTGTATCTTTTGCTATAATCTCTGATACAATCTCAATTACCTACCTACTTGTGCAGGATTTATGACTGGATCTATAGATGGGAGGGTTGCGTTGGAATATTTTGATGATTCCAGCTCTGAGAAAGATGGGTCGGTATAAGTTATTATCCCCAACTTTTGTAATGTTTATCTGTATGCATTAGGACTACTCCTTTTACTGACAACAGATAAGAGCAGCATATGTTTTTTCATGATAAACCTTGGTTGAAATTCAGTAATAGGAAAATACGAACTTTAGAAATTCCAATTTTAAATTATGCTCCTGCACAAAGCATTGAACATCTTATTTCTATCTAATATCCTCATTTTTATATATCTTATACCATTTCATGTTTTCTCATTTTGTTTAATTTATAATTCATGTATGGTGCATGTGTATCTATAGAATAATTATCCATACATACTTTAATTTGGATATTGAGTACAGAATAGGCCCCACAGATGTGGTACCCAAAAGATCTGGGGGCTATCCCATGTTCCCAAGGGAAACAATGAAACAATGCAATTAATTTAGGTGTTTCTTTATATGTCGATGCTACAGGGTTTGTATGCCTACAAATCTACATATACGGACAAATTCATTTTAAATTATTTGAAGTACTCTCTTTCACGCACTCAGAATTTGGTCTCGTTTATTGTAAAAAATGAAGGGTTTGAAATCAATGCCTTACATATTAAAATGGATAAGACTTGGAAATAATTTAACTTCCTTATAGTTCAGTATCTCGAGCACCTTAGATGCTTTTCACTTATGTTGGTGTTATGCAGATATGCATTCAAATGCCATCCAAAGAGCAAAGATGGAAGACATCATCTGGTAGCTGTAAATGATATTGCTTTCAATCCAGTGTATGTTTCACAATCACTTCTAGCTTACTTTATTGGACTTTTAGCTACAATTGACCACCTTTTTTTTTTTTTCCTTTCCAGCTTATGCGGTGTCCTCATCACTGGTGACAATGAGGGCCATGCTACAATGTGGGATGTTCAGAGCAGGAAACGCTTAATGGAGGTACAATTGATCTTAACTAAAATTTATAAAGCTGTAAATTAAAATTCTTAATGGATGAGATTTGTTAGTGAGTGACAAAATTGTGTTCATTTTATGGGAATGAATCTCATCAAACTGTTAAGTGTCATACAGATGAACTTTTCTTCTGGATTTATATCAAATTACGCCAGCAAGATAAATCTGAGACTATTTGTTTGCTGGTCTACTTGATTTTATTCCATGCAGAACAACTCTGCATATTGTCAAAATTATGCATGCTCTAGTAAGGATTATGCTATGTCTCTACACATGATTTCTTTTGAGAAAATCTTTGTTCTTTTGAATTACCAGCATCGATCTGTATCATAAGCTCATTTGTGTTTTGCATTTCTTTGCTTTATATTTGATTTGGGTTTTCTGGTTTCTCATTGAATTTTCGGCTGGTTTTTTCAGTTACCAAGATATCCCAATTGTGTTGCTTCACTGGCTTATAACCATAATGGACAGCTTTTGGCAGTTGCGTCAAGTTATACATACCAGGAAGCTAATGAAAGGTTAGTTGGCTACTTGGCTTGTCTTACACATTCGAGTTTCTTTAGGCCTTGCAGATTTCATTATCTTACGTTTATTGAAAAAATATCTCTTTTAAATGATGACTAAAAGTAGTTCTGGCTAAAAGTATGACTGCGTTCTGCAAGTATTTGTTAAAAAGGTGTTCGGGCAAATA